TTCAGAGCACTGATACCAGGTGTTCTCAGTTCATTCTCTGGGGGAATTTTATTTGCATCTATGTTTTTAGCTATCTGTGATAACTTGTTAAATATTAAAAAGATATTTTGCTTCTATTGGAACATTTGTATACCCGCAACTATATTTCTGTAAACAGCTGCAGTCAAAAATAAAACATTGAAAGTTTTCACTTTGCAGTGAATAGCTGTCTTTCCTCTTTAGACTTTGTGAGTGAGTTTGCATTTTTGACTATCAACTTTGAGTAACTTTGACTATGTGGCTGAAATTATAAAATCATTACTAAAGATGTACTAAATATTTTTTAGTAGTTTATTTCTAATAATTTTTTCAGACACCATACAAATGATACAGCATGACAGAATTTTTGTTTTAAATAGATGTTTTATTTTTATTAAATTAATGCATATACATGGTTCCAAATCATGTAGCCTACAGATGCTTTGGATGAAAATCAAGTCTTCCATCCATCAGTTCCCATACCCAGCGACAATCTTTTTATTCTCCTGGTAGTTAGTTCTACATGTATAAATTACCAGAGGGTGCTATGTAATTGATTTGAATTAAATAAAAATTATGTTAGGTGATACACTGATGGACACTATTTTAAACATACGTGAGGGCTTCAAAAAGGTCATGGAAAAAAATCCATATTATCTTTCCATTCCTTTTTCATGAACATTTTGAAGCCCCCTTGTAGCTATATTCATTTTTTGATAGGCATTAAAAAAAAATGTGCCTGCCTACCACACTAGGGAGAAAAGTGAGTGAAATTAAAAGTAAGATATCTATTGAGTTTTTAACATATCCAACTTTATATCTGAATGAGGTGTCACTTTGAAGGATCATAAGTTTATATCAACAGTACTGTCGTGGTACGCTTTCGGCATTGACTTCATTCACACTGAAACAACTATCATAAGAATTTTAGTAAGTATAAGCATCAAATTGTCACTTGGTCTAAAAAACAGTATCTGTGGGGAAAGACTGATGTGAAGATGGGATGTGGCTTAGCTGCCAGAAAAGCTGATGCAATTTTGCGTAACGTAATTGAAGTGTATAGTGTGTGTGTCCACAACAAGAGGTAATTGTCCCACTTTATTTCAAGCTGTTAAGAGCACTGTTTCTAAGGAACAGACAAATTCTCAGCAGCCATATAATCAGACCTAGAAGAGAACTGGAACATCATTTGTCCCTGCTCAGTATACAAAAGGAACTCTAGAAGTAGAAATGCAGCTATATTTTCTCAACAGCAGCACTAATGGTCTTGCTTTCACAAAGAGGTATTGGTTGCTATCTGGTGCTCTATTTTATAGAGTCGGCATCTCTGCTTCTATAAATGTAACAGTGGTTATAAAAGCCCGAACATCTGAGTTTGCCTATCTAGTTGAGTTCTGGCTCCATTCCTCAGTTTCTTTATGTATATCCAGACAATCAATCTCCATGTTACAAAAGTCCAGTAGTTAAAAACCAACCCTCAGAAAGCCTATTATATTAAAAATTCAAAGTACGTACTGTTTGTGATGCACATCAAAACATTACTATATTCTTATATATTAAAGATGGTTTAGTGTATCTCAAAGTGTTTACTGTTTTTATACATAGAAAGGTGCACTGTATGCATGAAGACAGTTGACTGATCTTAGATATGAACCCCGAACCCTGTACCAAGTACTTTTCTTCTTAAACAATTACAACTTAAAGACAGGCTTAGGAACAGAACTCTTTTGTAATCCAGGGACTGCCTGTAATGGAAACAATAAAATTCTCATAGAGTTGTTGTAGGAGTTAAAATATATTAGTATATTAATAAATATATTACTTGTAAAATTACTTAGTATCAGAGGCAAAGGTATAAGTGCCTAATAAATGTTTATTTGTACAAAGAGGCTTCACAAAGTTCATGGGAAATTTCCATTATCTTTACATTCCATTTTTCCACAAATTCTGTGAAGCTTTGTATTAATATTACTACTGACACTGCTGTGCTTCTGTCGCATGTACACTGGGTCCTGATATCCTTCTGTTTTTTTCAAAGACATGTTTTTATTGTCTTCATTCTACAGCATCAGAAAGAACCTTTTCTGTCTCTGAGAATCACTGGCATAGAAATCTATTTTGAAAAACAGAAACACTTCCATTGGCCACACAAGCAACCCCCTCTCATCTCTCTCCTCCAAGTCCCTCTTGGGCCCATTCCAATCAGGTTTTCATTATCTCATTCTGCTGAAATAGTGTGGTACTGGTTAGTGTGTTAAATCACAAGGTCTACGGTTCAAGCTCACCAGCCACTCCTAGAGGAAACCGTGATGTGTAAGGGTCAATATGAATCAGAACCAACTTGACAGCACTTAACACCAACTGAAGCAACTCCTATCAGAGTTGCCAATAGCTTCCACATTGCCAACCCCAAGTCAATGAATCTTCTGTCTCATCCTACTTAGCTTATCACTGCTTGCCACACCTGATCACTCCTGTGAAGCACTTGTTTCACCTGGTGCTCCGGGCACTACTCTCTCTTGGCTCTTCTGCTTCACTTCTTTGCACATTCATTGTCTTAACCTCCTAACAATGGAGAACTCTAGGACAATGATCAGACCTGTCCTCTTACTGCATAGGCTAAAACATCTTTTCTGTCTCTGTCTTTTCAAATTCCATGAGAGGATCCAAATCCATTTTTCCATGTCCATTCAGTATGAAGAAGTCCTGTTAGGTGAGCTTTCAAGCAAAATCTCCAAAATTTATGATTCAGTCCTGTGATCCTGTTCCTCAGTAGACGCCCACTTTTGCCTGAATGCGTCTTCTTCACTGACACCAAGAAATGTTTGGTCTGTTTTATAGAGATTAATTTTATTGATTTAATGTGAAAGTTTTGAGAAGTTTACACAAAATTGCACTGACAGTGACCAATCTAAACCCACTGCCATCAAATACATTCTAACTCATGGCAACCTGACATAGGACAGAGTAGAACTGTCGCAGAGGGTTTGAAGCCTATTAATCCTTACAGAAGTAGACAACCACATCTCTATCCTGCAGAATGGCTGGTGTATTTGAATCACGACCTTCTGGTTAGCAGCTTAGTACTGATAACTACCATGTCACCAGGGACCCCAGTGACAATGAAGGAGGCTACAGAAAATATTTCCAAATGGAAACACCCAGCCTTCTGCCATGGAGACAGTGCAGAGAGAAAAAAAAATACCCAGTACTCGGCAGTATCTGGAGTCATGCTGTGGCACCGTAGCACTATAGGATAAGCACTGGACTGCTGACTGCAATGCCAGGTCAGTAGTTCAAACCCAAGAACCTCTCCTTGGAAACCCTATACAAGGTTTACAGCATCTGGTAAAGAAGGTTCTCCAAGCCTGGAGTAATTTCCTTACCAGGTAAGTCTGCATCATTTATTTTCTCTTAATGTACGTACCAGAGGACTCCTGGTATGGTGCTGTAGGAGCAGCATTGGACTGTGAACCACAAGTTCAGCAGTTCAAATCCACCAGCTGCTCCTTGGACAGGGTCGCTGTGATTTGGAACCTACTCGATGGCAGTTAACAACAATGTACCTGAAGAGGGCAGTCTTGTATCATATACTATGTGAATTCTGCCGACAGTGGAAAAGGAGCTCAGTAGCATAGTAGTTAGAAATTGGGCTGCTAATCTCAAGGTCAGTAGTTCCAAACTACCAGCTGTTCTGTGGAAGACAGATGAGGCTTTCTGCTCCTGTAAAGATTTACAGCCTCATACCCTGTACAGGGTCACTATGAGTCAGAACCGACTCCATGGCACACCAACAACAACCAATAACAATAAAAAGAGATGTACTTTAAATGGAAAATTAGAATATTAGGCCAAATTCTCCACCAAAGTTTAATAAAAATCTAGGCATCTAAATTTAGTTTAAAAATCTTGGGACAAAAACATCATTAAAAGGACAGATAATCAGTTTTAGCAACAGTACAAAGGTAACCTTACAGGATTTTCTACTTTTTTAGAAAGCTGATTACAAGTATTTAGTTATTTGTAAAATTTTTAGGGGTGAAAGAGGAGTGCTAGTAAATGATTTCGATAGCCCTTCACAACTCCAAAATGTTAAAGAATGGGGCTTCAAAAGTTTGTAGAAGAATTCCATTATCTTTCAATCCTGTGTTTCCACAAACTTTGAAGCCCCTTGTCATTTCAAGTTAGTAAAAAATCTGGTAAGTTTATAAGGTGATGATGGAGGTTTTAATGGTTTATTGGTTTAAGAATTTTATCATTTACTTAACACGCCTCCTTTTGGAGCTAGATATCCTAAGCACTTTAAACATTTGAAGCTTTGGAGGAGTATTTTCTTGATTTCATTCAGTATAGCAGATCAAGGGTTTACATGTTTGGTTTCTTTTGGCAAACATTAAAGTGGAAGGTTGAAGTCAAGAAACTTTTATTTCAAAGTATTTGTATACATACAGCATATATAAAAACAGTTAAAGGAAAAAACATACACTGGGTGTATAAGTTACTAGTCATTAAAACCAATGTATATCATCAACAAGCATTAGATTATGAATTCCTAAACAAGTTGAGTTCCTGAAAATAGATTCATTCATTTCATTCTCTGAGCAATTCACCTCAGCCATGAAGCATGGTGAGATGAATAAAAGAAACATAGATAGTGAAGAGTCAGTTGATATATTTAGTCAACAGTACCCATAAAAATTTAGCTCTAATGAGAGGGATTAAACCTTACAGAAGACCTTACAGAATTTACACCCCTCCCTGCTTTGTGTCCTAAGAGACCTGTTTACCCTAATCAGATTTTGTCATACCCATGGTAATCAAAATAGTTCAATTTAATAAAACTATCCAAAAATGTACAGATACAGTCTATTCTCTCTTATACATACGTCACAGAAAATGAAAAAACCCAAGTCTTTAAAGTCAATGAAGTATAAAAAGGACAGCTAGATTTGGCTATATTTTAGAAGAAAATTATGTGAATCTCATTTTCCAGCGGCTTTGATCTGGTTGTCTGTTGGGATGGACTTGCCCAAATGATGACCCACAGAAAGGCCAAATTTCTTGTTTTTCTGCTCCTCCTGTACCTCTTTTTTCATTAAAAAACCTGCCTGGAAGTTTAGGTCAAAGAGGCTGCTTGGAGCGAAATACAGTGGTGTCTCATCCCAGATACTCTCCAGTCGTTTCTTCCATCCTTCCAGGATCTGGATCCGGGCGTCTGCTGGAGTATGCCCAATGCTGTATGTCAGCTGAGGTGCCAAGACTTGGAAGCCACAGAAATGCAGAATGCCACTCTGGAGGTACACAAAGTAGCACGGATGTGAGTCACAGAACAAATCCCATATTGTCTACTGTGTACTAACAACAAAATTTGGTCTGGACTTTTCAATTATGTTAATTGTTGTTAAGTGCTGCTAAGTCTGTTCTGACTCAGAAACACAGTATAGGGTATCTGAGGAGTGGTGGGTGAATCTGAACCACTGACCTTTTGGTTAGCAGTCCAGTGCTTATCCTAAAGCACCACACTAGGACCCCAGGCTTCTCAATAATTCAAAAAGGAGGTCTGAGATAACCCAGAGAATTAGTTCAAAAGAATATTTTCTCACCTTCTCTATGCCTTTCTATCCATACTTGCTACCTATTAACCTAGTCTGTTGTACTCTTCTTTAAATGAGCAGAGCCTTGAAACCGTGCCAGCGTGAGATCCTCTGCCAAAAAGGCCGGAAATTCTATTACATTAGGGAGTGTTTCCAGTGTCTTGGCAGCTGGCTCTTGCCAACACATACATATGTGCATTTCTCTGCCTCTCACTCCAGATAACTAGATAATCTTTCACAAAGGATCCGTCTGAGTGGCCACTTCATATGTTCTTCTCCCCAGCCACATACCGTAGAAGAGATTACCTTTGAGAGTCCTATGAACACCAAAAAACTAACTTCAGACTCATCTCTAAAATTGGCTGGACTAAAATGTTTCTTAAGTGTTTGTGAGACTAGTAGCAATTTGAAGAAGGGCAGACACTGGAGAGAGATGTCATTCATCTGGAGAGAATCAGGCCGCATGGTTACACAGATTAAGGATCCCTGTCCTTGGTTTTGGAAGCAATGATGTTTGAATAAGTGCACATATGGGGCCTGCAAAGAGAGGCAAGCTCCTAAAAGGAAGCCCCCTGGAGTTCTGTACCACTCTTATTCTTTCAGCTTCATACCTCAGATCTGTGTTCAATTGCTGTCTTGAGATTTTGGACCCCACAGGAAGCTCAACTAATTAATTCCCCTGAAGGTTCATTGAAAACAAGGTACCTGAATTGGCCAGAGAATGATATTCATGTCCCCGTGGATACCCTGCAGAGAGTACATGGAGCTGCTGCCACCAGTAGTAATAGAAAGCAGTGTCTTCTTATGCTGCAAAAGAAAAAAAAAAGAATATCTCATTGGTGAAAGGAAGTTAATGAAACGGCCCCAGGGAAAAGAACCCACAAGTCCACCCTCTGCTGTTTACAGTGTGACACAGTTACCCTCCTCTGAGCCACCCAGCATGACAATGCATAAGTACCAGCCTAGAAGATGGCAAACAGGTAACCAAAGGCAAGCTAGAGGATCCCAGACTCCTGGGTGCAGCAAGGGTGTGCCAATAATGTGAAATTAGCGTGGCCTGATGGCTGCCTTGAGAGAATTTTTGTTGTTTTATCTGTCTCCCCACTTTACCAGCCTAGAAGATGGCAAACAGGTAACCAAAGGCAAGCTAGAGGATCCCAGACTCCTGGGTGCGGCAAGGGTGTGCCAATAATGTGAAATTAGCGTGGCCTGATGGCTGCCTTGAGAGAATTTTTGTTGTTTTATCTGTCTCCCCACTTTACTAAAGCATGTTGTTCTTGTTAAGTGCCATTGAGTCGGTTCCGATCCATAGTGACCCTGTATAGGGCTTACGAGGAGCAGCTGGTGATCTTGAACCACTAACCCTGCAGTTCAAAAGGCTTTGCAGTCTGGCGCATTAGCATTAGTAGAGGTCCGTAAAAGGTCTTCCTTATTCAGTATTTAGGATTAAAAAGAAGTAAAACTTTTATTATTACGGAAATTTTCAAACTTACATAAAAAAGAGAAAATAGCATAATGTTGCTTCATCATCCAGGTTCAATTCTAAGTATTCTGCAATTCTCATGATATTTTCCCCCTTGTTTTCTGAATTATTTGAAAGCAAATCCCAAACACCATGTCATTTCAGCTGTAAAATCTTGATTAAGCATCTCTTCCAAAAGACATGGATCGTTTATTACCTAACTGTGCTCAGAACTTGCCTCAGGACAGAATTCCCCCAGAATCCACCTGTTAGAAACATCAGAACCATCTACCTACCTGGAAAGGTCCCTTGTCATACATGGCAGCATATGTGTAAGCAAATTCCCCTATGAACACTCGATCAAACCAGCCTTTCAGAATGGCAGGGACTCCAAACCACTGCAGCGGGAACTGTGGGACAGAAGACACCAGAAAGTTAGCTCAGAGACACGCTGAGAACAGAAGGCTGATCACGGTGCTTAGCTGCTGCCTATCACTGGTGGGAAGAAACTTTCTTCAGGCGCTTGTCAATTATGCTGCAGAAGTTATCCCCTAACAGAGAGGAGGCAAGTATTATCCTTGGTCAGTCAGCATCTGCTTCTGTCTGAAGACACAAATATTGAATAAGCCTGAATAAAGTCACATGCAAGTAACATTTATTTATGGGAAACCACATTTAACATCCAAGTCTAAATAAAAGGATTGCTTCATTGTTATGATTACTAAATCAAAGTTTTCTCAAGAGCTTGTTTTAGTAGGTGTGGTATAAAAAACAGGAAATAAGACCTTGTGCTCACAATGCAAAGTCACATTTAGATCTAACAAAACCACTCAGACCGCAAACAGATGATCATGAGGAAAGGGTATCAGGGAAGTCCCATGAGAACGTTTTTTTTGGCCTCTTATCCTGATAAAGGAGTGCTGGTGTCGGTGTGCATTAGGCATTGTGCTGTTAGGTACAAGCCCACCAGTTGTTCGGAGGGAGAAAGGTGAGGCTGTCTGCTCCCATAAAAAGCTACCTGTTTTGGAAACCCTACACAGATACGATCGGTTGCTCTAAGTCTGAATCCACTCTGTGGCAATGAGTTTTGGTCCTGATAAAAAAGGGACTCTACTCATATCTATTTTCCTTCAGTCATGACTTAAAGACAATGACGGTAACAACACAAAGAACATAGGCTTGGGAGAGAGATTTGTGTTCTTATTCTGAATCTGCTGTTAGCTTTTTAATGTGAACTTGTTTTGCACACACCCCATACTTTTTCTCAGTTTCATTTACTTCACCTGTCAGAAAAAGGAGTGTGGATGGTTTTCAGTAGTGTCTCACATCCTTAGATCTACAACTCCAATTGTGAGGGACCAGATCTGCAGCTTTGAGAATAAATGTGCAGGTTGTTCAGGGAACTAGTTTTGGTCTCCTGTGAGTGTTCTGCTATCAGAGCTGAGAATGGAATTGCTCAGCTTGGCATTATTAAAAAGTTAACTTTCCTTCAGGTTGTTCTTAGAGAAGTGAGAAAACTGAGCCAAGTTCTACTGTAAGTGGCTCCTTCCTGTGAATTAACACAATCCCTCCTAAGGACACATTATTTCTATTTTGAAAGTCTGCCATTATACACTGATTTTGCTAAAATAAGAGCTTTTCCTGTCTTCTGTCAGAAAACTACTGTATTAAATATTCCAATCTGCAGTGCTTACCTTGTCCTGAGAGGTACTGCTGTGTAAAAGAGCGTAATCTGAACTATTGTACTGATACTTAACAAAACGTATGCATCAAATAGAAATTAAATGTACAGAGCACCAAGGCCCTTTCCGGTTCTACAGATGGGTCAATCTGAGATGCAGAGCTGAAAACTGCTACTACCACTGCCTTCACATACTAGGATACGGTGGGGTAGAAAGCTTGGGTCAGGGAAGCAGCGTTAGGGGGCATGTGGCATAAATTCATATCAACAAGCTTGGGGGTAGAATAAAGGACTTCCAAAGTTGTATTCTTTGGAGCTGACTGAATAACTACACAAACCACACAGGGTATCACCCTCCTTGTGAGGGTCCCATGTCAAGAAGCTGGTTGGAATTGGTGAAAGCAAAGTTGTTGAGTATGGCCTGGTTCTTTTAGGGAAAGTTAATTGACAAGAAGCCCAGATTGTTCTAATATTGGCTGCTAAGTGGAGAGGCAGCTACAGAAAGAAGAAAGGCTATTATTTGCTGCGGGACCACAGAAGCTGAGTGATGCATACGTCAATGGGTACCATATCATGGCAAATAGGTCAGTCTCTCATGCATCATGCCAGAAACCATACCTGAAATATCACAAGGTCTGCAGCTTGCAGCTTCTTTTGTTCAGCTACAACCTCTGGGCTCAGACGGCCTTCCTTATAAGCTAGAACAGATTCAGCAGGATACTGAAAGTTCTCTGGGTCCTTCAGTTTACCTTCAGAGAAGAAAAAGAGGTCGAAACAGAGAACCAATAGCCAAGAATTTTTACAAAGTTCTAAAGGGAACCGTGTGATGCTGCCAGTTAATGCATTGGACTACAAAGTCAGTTTGAAACACAAGGTAGATGGTTCAAGCTCACCAATTGCTCCTTGGAAACCCTATGGGTCACTATGTGTCTCTATGGTCTGAACCCCCTGGACAGCACTAAACAACACCAAAGGGAACAATGGAGAAAAGCTGAAGGTCAAAAACCCTAAATAGAGTGGCTCTAAGTTGGAACCAACAACAAAGAGAAGTGCAAAGATCACCTGTGATGTCGTTTTTGGAAATGACTGGGTTGAACTTCATGGCATAGAGGTCCGACTCAGCAACTTCCCATCCTTTCCTCTTCAAGATCTCTACAGCTGCCTCCTTCATGGCATAGTTGAAGGATGTCTTCTCTGAGTGAGCCAGGACGATCAGTGCTTTTTTGACTGTGAAGATACACGCACAGGAATGGAGAAAATCAGTTAGCAACTTGGAAAGTTTCAACCTCAGCACAGTCGGGACCCTTAACGGAAAAGGTAACTTTACATTATGCAATCCATCCCCTGCAGAGAGAGCTATTTCCTCCTGAAAGGTACAAGGAATCAGAGAGGCATTTTGAGTCAGTGGGAAAACAGTGGCTAATAAAATAAATGGCATTACTATATACTGCATTACTATACTTCATTATCCATCTGCTAGAAAATAAAGCATCCCTATAGATGGCAACTCTGGTAGCGTAGTGGTTACGAATCGGGCTGCGAACCTTAAGGTCAGCGGTTCGAAACTACCAGCCGCTCCGCGGGAGAAAGATGAGGCTTTCTACTCCCGTAAAGATTTACACCCTCGGAAACCCTGTACAGGGTCGCTATGGGTCGGACCCGACTTGATGGCACTTAACAACAACAACAACATAGATGGCAACAGGCCCCACAGAACTACACTAACACAGGTGTTTGAAGTCATTGTAGCGGTTACCTTTGTCATGGGGTGGTAACTAGAAGGGCACAAAAGGGGCCTCTTGGGGTGCTGGTAATTTTTTCCTTTTTCTGGATGTTGATTACACAGGTGTCTGTTCAGTTTATGCTAATTCACTGAGTGCTACACTTTGGAACGTGTGCTCTTTTCTGTGTCTATTAAATAAAACAAGCTTTTCTTTTTAATTATAGTAACATGCCACATACAGCAGTATTTTTTTTTTTTTTTAATGAAACTAAATACTGGGGGATTATTTAAATAGGGAAAATTTGTAAATTTCAGGGTGGAGAAGATCTTTTAAAGAAAGATTAAAGATTCAAAAGTCATGAAGGAAGAACTTGACAGATAAAAAGGTCGGTATGAACCTCAAGGTCAGCGTTTCAAAATCACAAGCCACTCCTTGGTAACCCTATGTTGTTGTAGTTGCTGTGACGTACCATTGAGTCAGTTCCAACTCATAGCAACCCTATATAGGGTTTCCGAGGAGCGGCTCTCAGTGGGTTTGAACCATTGACCTTTAGGCTCAAACTGACCTTTCAGTCCAGTGCATTATCCTGCAGCTCCACACCAGGACACCTGGTAACCCCATACAGAGTCATTATGAGTTAGAACAGACTCCTCCATGACACTTAAACAACTTAACAACAACAAAATTGAAAGACAATTAACCAGGAGACAATGTCTACAGCTCATTGCAAAGAGTTAAAATCTCAGAGAATAAAAGAATGCTTGGTGTGGCGCTGTGGGTTAATGAGATGGACTACAAAGTCGGCAGTTCAAGCTCACCAGCTGCTCCTCAGAAACCCTGTATAGGGTCACTATGGGTCAGAACTGACTCAACTGGACTTAACAACAACAATAAATAAATAAATGTAAGTAATATAATAAAAAAAGATGGGTCAATGATATAAAGACAGTTTACTGAGGAAGATATGCAAATGACAGCAAACAAATGCTCTGCTTTGTCAAAAAAAAAGCAAAGATATCATTGGCCCATCAGATTGGCAACCAATTTACAGCCAGTAACTGGGTTTTGAACTGATTCATTCCTGTTTGAACTGCTGCTGAGAATTTGCCTTTCCATCCCAGATACACTGAATCAGAATCTACATTTTAACAAGGCCCCAGGTGATTCTTATACATAAGACAGACCTGAGAGGTTATTTAAAATGAATTCTGATTAAGTATATCTGGGGTGGAAATGCAAATTCTCAGCAGGGTGTTAAACAGGTCAAAGTTCTGGTAACCCTGAGGGCTATTAACAAGACAAGAAACTTGACACACCTTACTGGTGTGAATATATAAATTGCCTCAGCTTTTTGAGAAAGCAACCAGGCTGAATCTGTTAAAATTTTAAAGGCACATAAATTTTTGCTCTATCAACCCAACTTTGGGGATTTTTTTCTAGAGAATAAAAACAGGATATAAGATTATACTAGTGAGTATGCATACCACACTGTTCTTGTCATTGGCAAAAATTAGATATGAAATGATCGTCTAATGGGAGCATTTGAATAAAATGATGGTACATCCAAACAATGACATATTGTGCTATTAAAAAGGATGATGATTATATATATATATGTATATATATACATATATATATATCTTTGCTGTTGTCACGTGCCTTTGAGTCAGTTTCAACCTATAGCAACTGTGTATAGAGTTTCCAGACAGCGGCTTTGCAGTCCAACCCATTAATCCACAGTACCACACCAGGTGTCTGTCTATCTGTCTCTCTCTCTCAAACCCACCATCTGCTTCCACAAAGATTTAAAGCATTGGAAATCCTACAGGGCTATTCTACCCTGTCATATATGGTTGCTTTATCACCCTGTGGTGGCAGTGGTGGTGTGCCGTGGAGTTGGTTCCAACTCATAGAAATCCTGTACAGGGTTTCTGAGGCTGTAAATCTTTCCAGGGACGATAAGTCTCTTGGTTCTCCTGCAGAATGGCTGGTGGTTTCAAACTGCTGACCGTGAGATTAGCAGCCCCACTCATAACAACGGTGCTACCAGAGCTCCTTAACAATCCTATGAAATAGATGCAATGCTTATCTATTTAGTGCATGAAAGAAACATGAGTCCCAGCAACTTACCCAAGTTTACAGTTAGTTAGTTATTAAATGGTGAAGCTGGAATCATTTAACCTATGTTGTTTTTAGGTGCCTTTGAGTTGGTTCCAACCCTATGCACAAAACAACAAAGCACTGCCCAGTCCTGAGCCATCCTCACAGTTGTTTATGTTTCAGCCCATTGCTGCTGCTACTACTGAGTCCGTCCCTTCTTGTTCAGGGTCTTCTTTTTTGCTGACCCTCCACTTTACCTCCATTTTACCTCCTGATAACATGTTCTAAGTATGAAAGAAAGTCTCGCCATCCTGACTTCTAAGGAGCATTCTGACTCCTTATAATAAATTGTTATTGAGTGCCATAGAGTTGGTTCTGACCCATAGTGACCCTGTATAGGGTTTCCAAGGAGCAGCTGGTGAGCTTGAATCACCAACCTTGGCAGTTCAAACAGCTTTGCAGTCCGGAGCATTAACCCACAGCGCCACACCAAGACTCCTTATAATTAATAGACATGGAAATATACATGCAGCAAGTGGGGGAAAGGAAGAATAGAGAAAATAGTAGAGACAGGAAGTTTACTAGTATGATGTTAATAAGTGGCTTTGAATTGGTCCAGACTCATAGGGACCCTCTACAGGGTTTCCAAAGAGTGCCTGTTGGGCTTAAACTTGCAGTTGTCAGTCCAGGGCTCCTTACTGTTTCTCATAACACTTTATACCACTGTGTCCCCCCATTTACTTTCAGCAGTGACACGACAACTGTGAACAGTGCTTGAATAGAAAACATCTACATTTTCTGTACGGCTTGTGAAAAAAAAACTTGCAAGGCACATTTAAGTCAAGGAGCCTTAACAAGAGAACTACTCTTCCTGCTTTTGTTCTTTATGCCTGGCTTAGGCGCTGGCTCCTTTTTGGTTAAATTCAGCCAATTATTATAAACTTCAGGTGCCAGCATACCAACCAATGTCAGGAATTTCCAAGCTTGGTTCTGGTATACAGGACTCTTAGACCTAAAATTCAGTGGAACATGAGTTTGATGATGTTATCATTGCTGTGGGTGTGAATTATCTGAATTGGAGGCCCTAGGGAAAAAGGAAAGAAAAAACTTCAACAAATCTCAGTCTCTTTCTTACTAACGCATCCATTTAGCACTGTTGGGTGTGCCAGGGCATATATTAAGTTCTGATACGCATATTCTTTGTGACTTTCATGTTCACATTTGCTGAATACTACTTTGTCATTTTTTATTCTCTTGAGTTAATTATTATTAATATCAGTAAGCATTTCCTAAGTAGTAAAAACACTATGAAGGCACATCAGGAAATGGAGAAAGGCAGGAAACCCATCGCTTGCCTTCCAACAAGCTCACCATCTGATTTAGCTCTACGCGTGCCTGTTAACACAGGGGTTTTAAAGAAAAGTAAGACAAGGGACAAATAACATTAATATTTGCAATGAATGTAACCAACAGTTTCATATCTGGAATTGAACAACAAAAAAGTGGTTGAGCCGTTGGGTCTGACTCATAATAACCCCTTATGTGATAGAGAACTGAGCTCCATAGAGATAAATTGGCAGGTCTTAGTTTGTAGTACAAGCAAGTGTTTGCACCATTCTGGAACTCCTTCAGAATATATAGATTCCTAAATACAACCCAATAAAAGAATAAACAAAGGCTATGGGCAGGCAATTAACAACAATAGTCATGCTTATTTGCCTGAAGCAAAAGTTAAAGCAGGAGAAAAGTTCTACTAATACTTAATAACCTTGTGTCATTAATTTATATCATCTTTCATGGGCAAACGAGTTTTCTGGTCTTGGAGCCAAATAAGCTTGGCTTCAGTCCCCTGACCTGCCTAGCGACACAACCTGGGACAAGTTAGACCCTCAGAGACTGTACTCCCAGATAGAAGATAAGGCACATTGGAATGGCATTAGTGTGATAGGAGGGAAACAAACAAAGTTCAAAAGGAAAGAGATGGCTTCAGAGCAGCCAAACCAGGGGAGGCCTTGTGAAAAAGCTGCTATTTGAGCTGAGTCTTGAAAGACAAATGGCATTATTACAATTACCTTTAGTTTGACATTCATTTCTTCTTGTCATGACCTTTCTAATGGAAGCTAAGCGTATTTGACACAACTTTGTCCTCTTACAGCTGAGCACACTGCTCTCAGGTCTCAGTACATCTTTGTGAATGCATCTCTCTCTGGCACTGGCTTACAACCAGCTCTCCTTGTTCCCTGCTGTCAGGTTGGTTCTGCCTCCTGACAATCCTATGTGTTATAGAATAGAACTCCTCCATAGGGTTTTCTTGGCTATAATCTTAACAGAAAGAGATTACTAGGCCTTTTCTTCCATGGTACTGCCAGCTGGATTCAAACTGCTAACCTTGACATCAACAGTTGAATAAAAAGTGCTTCCTCCACTTCAGGACCTGTAATCAGATCTGGGTATCATGTTGATAGGTGCCATTGAGTCAGTTCTGACTCACAGTGCACAACATAACAAACCACTGCCCGGTGCTGGGCCGTCCTCACAACCCTTGCTGCTTGAGCCCACTGTTACAACCACAGTGTCCATCCATCTCATTGAGGATCTTCCTCTTTCTCACTGACCCTCCACCAAGTAGGATGTCCTTTCTCCAGGAACTGGTCCCTCCTGAATATGAGACCAAGTCTTGCTGTCCTCACTTCTAAGGAGTCCTCATTCTGACTATATTACTTCCAAGATAGATCTTGTTGTTAAGTGCTGTTGAGTCAGTTTTGACTCATAGTGACCCTGTATAGGGCTTCCAGGAGTGGCTGGTGGGTTTGAACTACCAGCCTTGCGGTCCAGTGCATTATCCTGCAGCTTCACACCAGGTACCCAAGGGAGATCTTAGAGTCTATGAACTATGCTCCCAGCTCATCTCCACTTCTCTGTGTACCTAAACGTCCTCATGTCTTCATTCCCCACCATTCTAGGTCCATGTCATTCAATTCTGCTTTACTCCCTGAAATGCTAATGTTCTCACTAGTGATCCTCTTGACTTACTCCTCTTGCTCCTTCTATGGCACTTCTGCCATTCATTCCTCATTGTTTATTAAGCAACTACTATGTGTAAAAGGACCTCTGGAAGCGTAGTAGTTATGAGTCGGGCTGCTAACCTCAAGGTCAGCAGTTCGAAACTACCAGCTGTTCCGTGGGAGAAAGATGAGGCTTTCTGCTTCGGTAAAGATTTACAGTCTCAGAAACCCTGTACAGGGTCGCTATGAGTCGGAGTCGACTCCAATGCACACAACCACCACCACCACTATGTGTAAGGCACTTTCTAACCACTTGGGCTACATCAGTATACAAAAGTGATATAAATCTGTCTCATTAAGGAGTGTAAATAATGATGGCGGAAGCATCCTGAGGTCCTGTGAGCTGACCTCTTTCCTCATCTGTTGCTCCAATACTTCTCGCATTCTCCGCCTTTCACCTCAGGCCAATCTGAAAGCAAGAGTTCTTAAGAGCCTTCCAAATGAAACTGTACTTGGGTCAAAGCTGGATAGTTTCACTGATCACCAACACAGAACTTAGTGACCAAAAAAAAGAAAAAATGATGGTTAAACTGTCAGAGAAAGAATGAGATTCCGGTATGTAACACATCCTTTTACTGCAGAGCATGCATTGGTACCTTTAGCAGTAAAAATGGAGAATCGTGCCATCTCTTTGGCAGGAAGAGAATTCACTAAAGGGAAACCAGAACTATTTTTCTCTCATTATACACACATTCACACATATAAATACACACATGTACATATTTATTCAGTACAATATTTTATTGCACTTCCAGAAATGACTTGAAACCACTGACATTCAAAGGTGTTTGCACCCTGAAATCCCAAGCAACATTCCCAGAAAGTCTTTTAAAAGTCCGTTAATTTTAAAAAACAAAAACCAAAAAAAAACTGAAAAATAGATGACAACCAGTGAGAAATGTAACAAAGGCAGAACTCGAGATCAGTTTCATGCATTCTGCCTCTGCCGCTGGTCTCCATTTGAATCCTCAGAGCCTGGTTGTGAGAGTCGGAGGCATCTGCCAGTTGCAAACACTCTACAGATTTCAGCTGACAGCATGATTTGGTTTAGCTGGGGAGCTCTGGTAGCGTAGTGGTTATGAATTGGGCTGCTAACCTCAAGGTCGGCAGTTCGAAACTACCAGCTGTTCCGCGGGAGAAAGATGAGGCTTTCTGTTCCCGTCAAGATTTACAGCCTTGGAAACTCTGTACAGGGTCGCTATGAGTCGGTTCCGACTCCACGGCACACAACCACCACCTAACTAGTTATACAAGCTCTGGATCTACCCACTTGCCCTCATGAACTCCACTTTTCAATTACACAGAAACAGAAAATTCTGTAGGATTGGAAAATCAAGTGTTAGTTTCTGAAGGAGAGGGTGGTAGTACTTCTGATGTGTTAAAAACCACATGGAACTGTTCATTACAGGTAAGCCTGTGTTTCCCTCTCAGGAATGTAGGAAAGTGGTGTGGAGTTGGCAGAGAAACAAATGCCTATTATATCTGGAAGTAGAATCTTTGATGGTGAAAAATGTGAAATTGAACACTGTAGATCCGTAAATAAACATGTAAACCCGTGCTCATCTTGTTTATTGGGTAATCCACCTCTGCGCCCTGCCCTAGCAGGTGCTGAAGCTGCAAAGGTGTTTCAAAGGCCATTTATGCACCAGACAAAGTTGTGACCCTTGACCATACCCCACCCACCCCCGTCGCCACGCAGGGCGCAGTGTTGATGGATAGGGAACTTCAGTCCCAAGTTAGAAAAGAAAGGGACCCCAAACCAGACTAAATCCACAAACTTAAATGTCAACTGGTCCAGCAACATGGGGGGATGAGTCTCTATCAAACCAAACGGGATAGCTTCCCTAACTCCAGACTGCCAATCTATAATCGCCAGGTTTCCCAATTTCCCTCCAGAAGCTAAGAATGCACATTTTTAAGTGAAATTATCTATTTTTATTTTAAATATTAGCAACTTACTTGAAAAAGATTTAAATACTTTTGAAGCAAAGAAACATGTAATAGTGGGCCAGATTTAGCCTTTAAGGTCAGTTTCCAATCTCTGTTTCGGAGGGAATTTTTGCTTCCAGGGTCCCTTCTCTCCCTAAACGTCCTCCAAAGTTTCTGGGGATGCAATGGTGGCAGGTCCGTGGCTCGGGGTAGAAATAGGAGCGTGCCTTCTTACAGAGTCTGGTCAGGGCTCATCCCAGAACCCTAATCTCTTCACTTTTTCTGTTTTGAGTCAAGGGCAAAAACCAGGGCCAAAATCCCAGATGCCCAAACAAACAAACTACTGTGTGGACTCACAGCGAAGCTACAAGACAGAACAGAATTGTTCTGTTGGTTTTCCTAAATTGTCCTGGTGTGGCGCTGTAGGATGAGCACCGGACTTCAAGGTCGGTTTGAGTCGCAAGGTCGGGGATTCAAACTCACTCCTCGAAAACGCTATACAGAGTCGCTATGGGTGGGAACCGACTCAACGGCACTTAAAAACAAATCTTTACGGACGTAAACTGCCTCATCTTTCCCCTCAGAACGGCTGATAGGTTCAAACTGCTGACCTTTCGGTTAACAGCCGAGCTTAACCACTGGGCCGCCTTGGGCTCCTTCCCTACAGGTGCAGCCAAGTCCATGGCTGGCATCTCGGAGCCCGGCAGAAGCGCTCACGGCTTTGCGAAGGGAGGCCGGTCCCGCCCTCTCCTGCACTCACCAGACATGGCTCCTCAAGCGCTGATTGGCCGGCTGCTGGTTGCCGGGGCGACCTAGCGAGGTAAGGTACGCAAGCGGAGTCTCTGGCTATTGCTACCGAAGTGTTGCCTCTTCTTATTCTGCCTTCTGCACACCCGCGGCTTTTATACCCGGCCTGCCCTGCCCACTCACACTGGGTGACCAGCATGGGCGTGGCCGGGTGACCAGCA